AACAAGTCATCTGCACATTTTGTAACCCATATAGGTAAGTTTCGAAAATTTCGCACCCATTCTCGGAAAGGGAAGTGGGCACCCCCCCCCCTTTGGTCCGCCACTGGTGTTTACTTATATGAGCAAAATGAAGGCTTATCAAATTGTTTGTCTGCTCTACAATGAAGGACAACCGTACCCCCATTTACGGTTTCTGCTTGCAAAGCGCAGTGGCAAGAAGTGTACCTCAAGTGGATTCCTGTATACATTCAAAAAGATGTATGTACGTCAAGTGCGTAAGATTCTTGCGCAAGTTTTGAAAGCCGCTTTTTCTTGTCAAGTCTATTTGCTTGAGTGTTGAAGAACATTAGGTCTATAGGCTACTGCATGACGAAGGCTTAATATCTTTAAACGCGAACGCGGCGTTATTAGCCGCAGAGTGCATGAGGCGCGAGGTTCGTTACGGTGAATATACAGTAGACTTCAGCTCAGTTTAGGCGGAAATTGGACTGGCGGGAATCCGCTCCGCAACGACTCGCGCCGCTTTGCAGTCTGCGTCTCTTCATTCTAATCTATCTCGCTGAGCCAGCGGCGGCGCGTACGCGCTGCTCCACTAGGAATGTTTCGCCTACTCCGGGTTGAAAAGACTGTACGCGCAGGCCGAGTTTGCGCCCGCTCAACTAATAAGGCTTCTGCGCCTTCCTCCTGCAGTAGCCTTCACTGTTGTGTAGACATTTTTAAAACCCAATTGCCCACCCCTCGCTTTGAACACCAAGGCCCGGAGCAGCTGGAGACTGGAGTCCCTACGCGACATAGACTATTCACAAGCGATAATAAGCGGTTCTGAAGACTCTTTTAGCTGAAACTCAATACGCAATGCTGAAAACAACATGGATGATGACTGGAAAATTCGTGAGTGAATGAGACCGACGCAGGGCCCGGCTCGCGTTGGTTTGGAGCATTTGGAAACGATGCTTCCCATGACTTCGCAAAAATTTACGAGATTCTTTTCGATGTAAAAATTAGTAGGAAAACCCTTATTCAATCAAAATAACAATAAAATGGTGGAAAAATTGCATTTTCAGGTATAAGCTGCTGCATGACGAAGGCTCAGTAAGTTTGGACCCAAAACGGCTTTACTAGCCGCGGAGCGCATGAGGCGCAGGATTTACAACGGTGAAGATACGCGCGCGACGCGTTCGCACAGCTTGACTAATACTACTTCTGCGCCTTCGTCATGCTAGCGTTTGTGTAATATACGAAAAAAAACTGATGATTACAGGCTCTGTAACTGACTATGGTATCATTTTAGTGCCCAGAATGTCGAAAACCTCCTAGGCCAACCAAATTTTGTGACCTCAACAATCTGGCGATGCGTTTTTCGCCAATAGTTCAATAGACACTACATGTGACTGGAGACTGCGATATCTAATAACGCGTAGGTTTACACCGCTTTTAGCTCAAAAAAGGAGAGGCAATGGTTTGATTCGCGCTCTTCACTATATGTAAATTTTTGAGCGTTCTAATCGTCCAAATGGAAAAGGTTCAAAACTTATGTGAACTCTCCGATATTTATGCTCCGAGCTAACCCAGTTGGATTGGTGTTGGTCTAGAAACCAACATATTCGAGAACGGGTATAGGACACATAAATTTTTGGAAACTTCTTCTATGATTTGGAGTAATATTGTACACAGATAGCAAAAATTCGGTGCCATGTGATGGTTGTGCGTTGTAAACAAGCCTTTGTTTGTTTGGGTAAATAATACATTAGTTACTTCAGTTGCCTTTATTTGATTTTGTTTAACAGATGAAAAGGCGTTCTTATGGGAATTAAAAATTTGAGAGCACCAAAAGTTACACCTGCTTCATTGGCGCAGTTGTAGTAAAGATCATCAAGGCCATCGATAACTATTATTTGAATTTTGATAATATTGGTTGTCTTATCTATGAAGATCTGGAAGAAAGAATGAAACGTTTTCAATACTTTTGAGCACCTTAAATAATTACATTTCCTCATAAAACTTTCAAAAAGTGAAGGGCGGTAAGAAGCGCCGATGTTCGTCTTGGTAAATGTAAAAGTATATCACAGAGAAACGTCACAGCATTAACGAAATAATAAGCAGCTCAATCTGAGGCTGTGGAGTTTGTCCGTTACAAAAATACAGTGAGGAATGATTTACAATGCTTCAAAGCATGGGAAGTCGCACAACAAAGGAGGTTCATTCTTGTTCGGCATTACTTAGTGTTCACTCAACAGAATTTATCGAAAACCCCTACTGCTACGTAAATTTTTTTCTAACGTTCCATATCGACCACTGCGAGCCTCTGCGAAGCAGGGGTGACGCAGTTTACAAAATAAACGCAGATATCCAGAACATATTGAAAAAATGTTAGGAGAGATTTTTCAAACTCAATTTGATGCAACCAAGAAAGTAAATGCTCAAAACGGGCCTGCTTCACAAGCCATGAATATTCAATGACCTTTCTTATGACAAACTGGTTCATTATTTTCTGGGAAACTCTAGCTGGAAGACAATGCGGAATAATGGGAGAAGAAGACTTGGATTTCTTGCTTATCAAAGATTCAGTCAAATGAAATCTGGAGGGCATGACGTGGATTAATAAGTCCCCTTCTTCTCATTACTTATGAATTGTCATATTTCAAGAATAGAGTGGGCAGTCATTGAGCATTGAATGCAGTGGCAAAGGTGTGGAAATGGCATGAGAAACCAGTGCTGGGATGTCTTTGAGGAGGGAGATCAAACAGCTAAGTGTAATATTTATTGATAGGTTGAAGGAAATGTTCTAGATTCTAAGCGAATATCTTGCCTGTGTCAAAGCAAGGTTCTGGAATGCCTGTTGTATGTAGTCTTCGTGTTTCCTCTCAAATCGGTTGCTGGTAAGGGTTTTTTTGTGTTTGACTACATTAGGATTCATTTGTTTATGCATCTAACTTGAGAAATAACAGCTCAAACAAATCACCGGAACTTCCACAGGACAAGCCAAATTTGCAAAAGTTCCGCAGGATTTCGTTCACTATTGCAAAAATGAAAACGTTGAAAATCGGAAGTTCCGCGGGATTTTCATGCCAAACTGGTTGAAAACCGGAACTTCCGCAGAACCTTCTCTAAAATCCTGCGGAAATTCCGAAAAATACCAGAGTTTCCGCAGCACTTTGGCCGGCCAGAACTTCCGCAGGACTTTGAATGTGTTGTCTCGTGATGTTGCCTCGCCAACAACTAGAGTGCATTATCGAACCGTCAGCCGTAGCGTAGAGGATAGTGGGCGGGTCTCACAGTCAATAGAGTGAAGTTCAAATCTCGCTTCGGTGCTTTCTTTTGCTGTTGTGGTTGGCATTCTTCGGAACTTCCGCAGCATGTTTACGGAACTTCCGCAAGCGCTCTGCGGAAGTTCCGGTCATTTGTCTGAGAGGTTATATCACTCTACAACTACAAGGAGGAAGCTAGTGATACATTGACGTGACGGTGTTCTGATTGAAGAGCTAACAAAATGAAACAAATGATGTATTTTCATCCATGGTAGCGATTTAAGAGGAAACTGAAAGAGGTTGCCTCCAAGCTTGCATGGTTTCACCCATTCGCTTTGATGTTTTCCTCTTTGGATTCACTTGTAAGTGATAAGTTTAAGACTTATATACCATGGCTCTATAATAGTGGAAGTTTGTCCGTTTTTTTACAAATGCACATATACCTCGAAAAGGAGACATATTTGACTCAAAATGTTCCCTAAAACTCATAGCATAAGACCACTGGTGATGCATATGGTTTTATGTCGACATTGTGTTATCGTCGTCTCCCCGGCGTACGTTGGACGGAGCTTTTGCGGATCAAACACGTTGATGAACTTGTAAAGCCTCTACTGCAAAGCATGGTTCTTGTACTCTCTAAACTGCCACGTTTATATGCTGTTGTCACGCGGCAGGGTTGCCAGCGAGAGATTACAAAAACTGCGTTGTAGTAGAGGGTTAACATGTTTGTTCACCAACGTGTTGAAATGTCCGCAAAAGCTCCGCCCAACGTACTCCGGGGGGGGGCGACATTTTTGATGTTTTTTTCATAAACACGTTCCTTTGGCGCATTAATGGATGCACTCAATAAATAAATAAACAAATAAATAAATAAACGAGGACGAGAAGAACAAGCGATATAAAGAGTCATCTGGCTAATCATAGCAAAACTTCGATTGTGATAACGTTTATTAGCACCAGTGTTCCGCATTGCATGTGTGGTTTTGAGATCGTATTTCGCGTCCAGAGACGCCTCAAAAGCGATACTTGTTTGAGTTTCTCTTTTCTATAAAAAATGAAGCTTATTTAGAAAGGGGTCTCTTAATTAGACATGCAAAGCTTCTGAAAAGAACTTTGTGTATGAAAATCATTTTCTTCATTCAGACAAACTTTCTCCTTACTAATTCATGCAAACTTGGTAGTGTAGTCTAAAGATAAATGTGAATTTCTTTTTTTGGGTTGTCGAAGATCATTAAAAAATCAAAAAATTCAAATACCTAACGAATGTTAGAAAACTATGTTAGAATGTGTGACGTGGGGGAGAAAGAGGTAGAAGAACAAAGTATATTCCAAATCTCTTAGGCTGAAAACTGAGTTCAATGAAGTTACTGACATGTGAGCACTCTTCCGAATTTTAAAAAAACGCAATATACTTTTATGGAGCAGCTTAAGCAGGTAGAGGAACGCCCATAAACGGCCGCGGAACTGGTGGGGAAAATGAGGCGCGCCCCAGTGCCAATCGATTGGAGCACGTTATCCTTCGCGGACTTACTGCTCGCTAATTGCTGGTATAACAGTCTTCATAATTGATCTTCCACACTGTGTTATAGAGTCATAAATATTGAGACTGCAAGCACTTCTTGTTGTTGCTTTTTGCATCATCTACGCAAAGTATGCAGTTCACGCGAAGAACAGTCGCCGCAGTGGGGATCACCACCTTGTTCTTTCAAAGGACAAATGCATAGTCATCGTCAAAACATCACTACAACATGATTAGCAATCTCCAAGCGACCATCCAAGCGATGCTTCAATGTATGGTTCTAGTGACTGTGGGCACTTGCTTTCCAGTTTTGTCCATGTTAGCGCGTTCGGTGCCATCTGAATTAGGACATTTACTTATTGCCATGCTTTGTGAGTTTTACCCGTCTGCTTCTTATTTATCGATCCGTATCAAAGCTGTAGTGTTTTCGCCAACATTGTTTGTACATTTCCCACATCACAAAATTCAAATCTAAGAGAAGGTACCATCCATTCTCTGACTATTAGACACGGGCACGCTTTGCATAAGTTTGCTTAGCAAGTCCATGAGTGGGTTCTGACGCGTTTTCGTTAGTTTTCTTGAAGGAACATGCGAGCTTGTCAAATAATGCGAGTTCGAACATGATCTTTCAAGTCTAGTAGTGATTTACCAAAATGCTTTAAAACACACTCATGAACTTGTTGACCATACGTACCCGAAGCGTGCTCGTGTCTCTTGGTCAGGAATGAATGATATTCATCCTCAACATACGCGTTTGTAGATTCATACTTTGCCCGATCCATGTAAAATCAGTATGGATGGGCTGACACTTTGTTAGTGATAAAGTAACTACTGCACAAAAACATTGTAAGGCCCTAACCGAGTAAAATGGGATACGTGCAGAATCGACTTCGACCTTCTCATGGCCAAAAAACCCGGTGAAATGTTGATAAAAATTACTGAGGGTGAGCGTAGGATGATAGGCTAACCATGTTCAGTTTCGAACCCTCCACATTGTACGATGATATCCTCGGCCGAACAACTCTATTAAAAAGAGTTTCATCCACGTCATGTTTGTATTCGAGAGGTTTTGGCCGATAGATGCACGTAAGCACGTGAGAGTTGACAATGTTGTCGCGGATGCGCCCGATGTGGGTGTGAAAAGACTCTACGCTGGCCTTCGACCTAAAGTAGCAAAGCTTTGAACATACAGAGTTCAGCGCGTACAATCTTCTAATCAAGGTATGTCCCCATATGTGAAAGCGAAACATGGAGGTGAACAGTTCTCTACAACAAGCCAATACTTATGACCCTATAACACAGTGTGGAAGATCAATTATGAAGACTGATACAGCAGCGGTTTGCGAGCAGTGACTAAGTCCGCGAAGAATAACGTGCTCCAATCGATTGGCACTGGGGCGCGCCTCATTTTCCCCACCAGTTCCGCGGCCGTTTATGGGCGTTCCAGGTAGAGTGTGTCAGGGCTTAACACATTGACGACAAGGCCGATTTTTCGATTACTGCCATTTCGGACAGGAGCCTTTTTTGCTCTGCCAAACTTACGACCCACCCGTGGGTCGTATTGTCCGAAATGGTAGTCTTTTTGTAAGAAATTCAAAACATGTCTCTGAGAATATCCCCACAAGGGTTATCGAAGGCGCTGATTATCAAAATATGATTTGTTTCAGTTTTTGGCAGTATACGGTAAGATTACGGTAGTCGCTCTGTACGAACCCAAATCGCGGATTTTCGTAAAAAACTGTGTTTTGGGATTATTTCACATGCTGTCACGATTATAGTGTGATTATAGTGTCCACTTTGTTCACTACTTTCCCACAGTGGGGCTACGGTAGCAGTACTGTAAAATTTTTTTAAGTATCAAGAAACTGATGTAAAAAGGCGGTATTAGAACCTGAGACTATCATTTTCGTAATCAGCATGCTAAAAAACCTATACATGCAAGGTTTGAGCTTCCTGGGATGAACAATGCGAAAAATCAATAAAATTAATACAATCGATAATTTTTGATGGGCTGACATCAGTCTCATGCTCTCCCTGTATTTCTTGTGCATGTGAACATGAATTGTCAAGAACAGCACCACTCTGCGAGAAATTCGAGCTCAAATCTGTGCTTTACCTCTATCTACGGTATACCTACCGCAACATTACATTACAGTATCCCGGACCCGGACCACTCCGGCTAGAGCTTCGCCAAGGTGTCCCCAATCATGTGCCGGAATACGGTAAAATTCCATCGCATGCTGGCAAAACTAGAGCTTTCGAAAACTTACGACCCACCGGTGGGCCGTATTGTCGTCAATGTATTAAGCAAGGCTTCTCAATTCTTTCTAGCACGCAGGGTGTACATTTCGAGTTGGAAGCCGAGCGTGGAAAGTTTTGAGTGCCCGAAAAATTGAAAAAGATTTAGATCTTCTTCCAAAGAAAACTTGCAGAATCTCTCACTCAAACGCATATATACTCCGTATAAGACAATCGTATATGCCGTTGCTGTACTTGTTTCTGGGCTAACAGCTGGGAAGACCAAGCAGGGAATGGTCAGAACTCAACCCAGCCATAACAAGAATGCTGTCATCGGAACTCGCTTGAAACGCTGATCACAAATACATGTTTATATTTGCCAGCGGCTATCTGGGAGAAGTTATGAGCGTTTAAATGTGCGATTTGTCAAGTGTTTTATGGTGCATATTCCACGAAATAGGTTTCGAGAACGTTTATTTAGGTTTTTGGTGAATGTGTTTCTGAATGTGCTTTTTTGTGTTTTTGCTTTCTGCTTTTGCTACTTGAACGTGCTTTTTTGTGAACGTGCTCCAAATCGCGTCGCAACTGAAATCGAGTGAGGTATGCTTGGGTCTTAGACGAGTTTTTGGGACCAGATCCTTTGAATTCAAAACGGAGTTGAAAATCCGACTACAAGGCAAAGGTTGTGCGCAACTTATTGAGAGTACAGAAGCGCTCAGTAGAAAGTTTCTGAATTGAGTTTAAAGGCAGCGTACACCCAAAATTTGAATTACCGAATTTCCTAGATCTTTCTACACCGTGCATATACTGGGCCCAGAAGAAGACCAACTGCGTTGGTCCGGTCTCCCAATGTTGCTTCTGAGCGGAGAAAACCCCCCCCCTCTCAATTTTCTTTCACGCCGCCCCTTTTCTTTCGCTCCGCCTCCTCCGGACGAATCCATAACAGCGTAAGCTGCAATTGCAGTTGCAGTTGCTGTTGCAACATCTGTTGCATTTGTTTTGGGTGTACGCTGCCTTTAAGCAGTAGACTGAAAAGAGATTCCAGAGCCCAATTACGGTCTATTAAATTTGCAGACACAAGTCAGCCGGTGGAAGTGGGGATGATTATGCTTATTAGAAGCTTTATCAAGTTATTAAAGCATCTTGCAATGTGCTGGAAAGCCACTTGTTTGTAAGAAGGGGAAGGGGGTGGAATTATGCTCAGGGCTCGCCACGTATTGGCTTCGAGCGTAACGAAATCTCCCATGACTGCACAATTATTCCGAATTAACCTGTGGTATAGTCACTTCGGTACTGTGTTCAATGACTTAAGAAACATCAATTTGCGAAACTTTGGCGAATTTTCCATGAAAACATTCTGCTCTTCTCACAGAAAGCGTGTTTAGTCGAAGTTATCATTCCACACTCATCTATATAACTTTGTAAAGCACTGAACGGAAATTCTATTAGGGTGATCCAAAAGTAATGGGGCACCTAGAGAATAAACGCAGTTTTCTCAAATAGAATAGCTAATTGGAAGTTCAAGTTTTGGCAGATGTTAGTACATAACAATACCTTCTGATCGAGGTCTATAGTTGGGCACTGTCACATGGCGTTATTTTTATAAGCGCTCAAAATGAAAGCTCATCACTTCAAGCAATTTTGAACTTTGATCAGCAGCGCCGCAGTAGAACAAGTGAGCCTACCAAAGATATGCGCGCAGCAATCGGTGAGGGGGCTGTCACCAAATCCACAATAGCTCGGTGGTCCCAAGGCTTTAGAATAGAAGATATAGCATTTGGTATCAAGAGAGATAGTACTTATCCTTTCATCAAGGTAATCAAATAAGCTCAACTTTAACAGTTGCTTTCTGATAGTGCTTTTTACGTCTATTCACATATATGGAAATTACTTCGACTTTTCTCGTTTTCAAGAAATTGTGGGCTAAAACATGAATTTTAGTCAAAAAATCTACGCCAAACACCCCACATTTTCGAATAAAGTGCCTTTTTTGTATGAAATAGTGGGCATTTTTTGAATATTCAAGTAATCTTTAGGAAGAACTTGGAAAGCTCTTTCGATTGGTATGCTATACGTCGAGGGTCCTTCAGGTGCAGCAACACAAATTCGGATGGCGTTCAAAAAAGTCTGTCTGACTTCTTTGAAGCGCCGCTTGAAGGAATGTCGGTGAGGTGCTGCAAGGTGCTGACAGGATAACCTGCGAAGGTCACTTTATACAAGTGTTCAAATTGCTGGTTGTTCATAGCTAATCAGAAAGAAATCTTGAAGAATTTTCAAAAAAATCAAGGTGCCCCATTACTTTTGGATCACCCTAATAGCTTCATCTTCCTAATCTGCCAAGCTCCTATAGAGCCGAGTTATAAGCGTTTTTTATGCCGAACAATTGAATGCGCAATTGGGACAAAATCGTCCAGAATTGCTCAAATGGTCAGGTGGTGATTATCAAAGCACTTCATTCAATGAGTACCTTCTATTTAATGCCCTCACACTCAGCACTGCTCTAGTTGAGAGCAGAAAATATTGTAATCATTGTTTTTGCCTAGATTCTGTATTCATTTTTGCTCTAGAAAACACTCATAACTCGGCGTCTAGATATGCTTGGCAGATGACAAAAGCATATTTGGAATCAGCTCTCAATGCTCTTTAACATGGTATAAGAATCAACTGGAAAAGCCACTTCGAACTATACACGCTTCCTATGTCAGTACAGTAAAAAAACACTTTTAGCAATGACATCCTTCTCTCTGCGTCTCTACCTCTAACGGCAAATTGTACATAGAAAAACGAGACGACTGGAAGCCCTGGCCAGGGCTCGGCACGAGGTGGCTAGATGAAAATGCAAAAAACGAAGTCCCCCTTGACTTTTGGGTATTTTTACGAAGCCCCCTTTGACCCCCCACCATATTCCCTAAAAATCCTCCAAAAAACGAAACGTCGACTGAAAAAAAACGTCGCCAAATCGCCAACTTTGCGTGTGTCTTCGGTCACAAAAACGAAACCCCCTTTGCTTTTCGTCCCAAAAACGATATCCAGCTTGCTTGTAAGCCACCTCGTTCCGAGCCCTGGCCTTGGCTCACCCTTAGTAACTCTAAATTTTTATTCAGTCGTGAATTGGAGAGCAATAGTTATCGAAATCTACTAAGTTAGACCAATTATGGCCTGAAAAGGAATGGCTTGATTCGGTTTTCTCACTGAATAATAGATTTCTGTGAGCTTCAATAGTTAAAGCCAAAAAGAATCAAAAATGGGAACCCTCCCGATTTATGCTCCGAACCAATCTAGTTGGTGTGGTAATGGTCTAGAAGATCATATCTAAAATAAGTATTACGACGCACAAGTTTCCGAAACGTTCTACATCACATCAATTTGGATTTCGCAAGCTTGTGAGAAAGAACAACACGATATCTCTTGCTATTTGCCAAAAATAACGAAATTTAGTTCGATTTTAGCACATGTGTGGTGGGCGCTGTTTATGCCTTAATCGATTCGAACTGTAGCAATAGAGACTAAAGTGAAACAGATGGTAAACTCTTTTATGATCCGATGCAGAGTCGCGTTTGCCACTTACAGAGAAAGGATCATTGGTCGGAGTGGCCTTTCAGAATGTGTTGGATACATTTTTGAAAGGCATTAGACCTTGTTTCCAGATCTGTTTTCAGCTGCAGAGCCCCGTTGAATAAGGAGATTTGAGCGTTTGAAGAGTCGGAAAATTTAACGAGCGATAAGGATGATGAATGAAACAACTTGTACAACTCGTACATAGACTAGTGTTGATTACGCATAAAGCAGAAATTTCTTTGCACAGGATTAAATTAGCAGGTATCTCTGCTAAATCTAGCTTAAGGAAAGCTTCCGTGAATGATTTCCTTCTTTCCACGCCTCTAAATTTTCGTTCCAAAGACTTTCATAACTTCTTGCCCTTTAAAATCATTTGGAATCAGCGTTCGATGTACTCGGAGAATATATGCCTCATCTGAAAAGGCCACTTCGACTAAGGACCTTCCCCGGTTTTTTATGAAAATATCGAGCTGTTTTACAATAGAAGAAATTGGTTATATTGATAATTATTTCACTTTCGTTCCTTCCCTTCGGTGCATATTTTGATATCTAATTCTTACCAAGAACTCCTCATTAAAAGAGAAAGATTTAAAATTGGGTAAAGTTATAAAAAGTCTTGGCTGCTTGTTTCAATATTTGATAGCAACTATGGCAAAACCTTTTGGTGTCACCTCGATCAGCTAAACCAAGTAATAGTAGTGAGAGAGTAAATAACTCACTGCATAATCTTAGGATCTCTATCATACGTCGGCATCAACAAATATATGTAAATGGAGTCCATAAACAGACAGTCTTAGATTTGAATTAGAAGTTTAGATTTGATCTTAGAATTTGCAGATTAACACTGATTTGTTCGTAGTGTCTATCGTTGCTTCTGTTTACTTACGTACATATATTCTAAATCAACGATAAATGAATTAATCAATTACCAATCAACAGCTCATTGTATAAAAGGTGTAAAAGGTTGATTGTATTCTGTACTACAAGCTGCTCAACGTATAATAAAAAGTACCTTGTAATGCTAGTTGCAAGACTTCAAGTTCGTAGCCGGTGCGACAGTTACTTTCGGCCTATTTTTAATTTAGCAGATGTATATAAAATTGTCTCACTGCATACATTGAGCAAGTTGGAGCTTTGTAGGATTTTTCGGAAGCATATCCGATTTTTTGAGGGTTTATGAAGTTTAGATGTCGGCATCAAATTTCATGTAGTCATAGGCTTTGCGAGATTCAAAAAGCCATTATGTAGATTATGCTTTGCTCTACTAAACGTGCACGAGGCTTAATTTGGATTACTATAAAAAAATATCTCCGCATGGTTGCTTATGAGAAAAAACAACAAGAACAAAAATAAAACAATAAATATCAAAACTTAGTATTAATCAACGAAGAAAATAAGCTAAAAAAAATAATAAGAAAATAATGTTTGAATGCAAGCATAAAGCGAAAAGGAGCTTGAAAAACAGTAAGGCTCTCGAAAGAGAGGGAATTCTAACGTCAAACATTTTCGAAGAATGGCAAAGTTGAACTGCAAATTTATGCAAGGAAAAGAGCAAGAAGTTCTCTCGAACAGCGAGAAAGAAAACGAGGGAGGATGTGAAGAATTTTTAATGTAAGAATCAAATCTTGAAAAGTCCAAGATGCATCTTAAACTGTTGTAGAGGCCAAGTGTGTTAAGCACTATCAGTACTAGCTGAAAAATCGCAAAAAGGATAGAATTTCTTCAGGGGCAATCTACCGCCAAGAAAGGGTCGAAGCAGCTATTAATTCTAGCACTACGAGGTATGTGATTCAAAGGCCGTTAATTGAATTCACGCTAGATCTAGCAATACTTGGTCCTCGTTTTCAGATAATTCTAACGACAAACCTTAAACAAACCAGGAGTGCAAGCGAGAATGAACTCAGGTGGCAGCCGCGAAAGCAGTCCCTCGTTGAGGTAGTATGCTCCCTTCATAGCTGCTAATCGACCTGGAAAGCTATTTTACTGGTACAGAATATTTGGAAGGAAAGAGATATGCGGGGAATGAGAGAGAAGATTTGGACATTCATATACTGTAACACCAGAAACATATTCCAAAATAGCCTGTTCATTGCCTGCCTGAACTGTCCTTCCAGAATGTTGACTAAGAAGTCATGGGGTCTTTCAAAAAATGAGCAAACTCCGTTTGAAACTTCGTGCAAATGACTCAACTATACACTGTTAGCTATCGTTGCCAGTGTCACCAGCGTTGCCGTTGCTTAAAGTTAGGCGTGTCTTTGCATAACCTTCTATTTTTTTGCAGAAATATTAGAAAATTTGTGTATAACATAGCCACTAGCCTGATCTTTGAACTATAGTTAACCCTCAGGTATAAAAGGTAGTGTTGTCATTGTTTTCTTTCTTCAGCCACTCCATTGATGAGCCTTGGGAGTGGAATGAATACGTCTAGGGCCCCGGGCAGACTTCACGCGATTTGATCGTTGCGACTGAATCGCGACGAGACAACTGTTACAACATCATTCCATGCCGATCGACTTGCATTCGGTCGTGATACTTTTCCAGCCCGAAATTTTTGAATGTGAAATGAAAATGAATGGAAATCTTGGCGATTAGATCGCGACGATTGAGTCGCGTGAAGTCTGTCCGGGGCCTAGGGGTACTGAAACACTGAAAACAGCATCGCCTATCTTCTGAGCTGATTTAGCTTATAGTGCGGTTCGTGAGTATACGAACACCCCAAATTTTAGGAATCTCTGGACTATTTGGAAGAAAATTAAAAAACCGTTGTAAGACGCGAAAGAGCACAGCCGAAAACGGTATACGATCCACAAGAATGAAAATCGATGTCAATCTTGGGAATGCTTTTGCGCTTGTGGATCGTACACCGTTTTCGGCTGTGCTCTTTCGCATAGTACCAACGGATTTTTGACTTTCTTTCAAACAGTCCAGAAATTCCTAAAATTTGGGGTGTTCGTATAATTATGAACCGCACTGTAAAGTATATTCGTTTGTGATTCGATGTTTTCTAAACCACATGAGCAGTCTTTATCGGTTTGCCAGTGCAAACGTTGACAGTGCCGAGCGTACGTGCCGAATATGCTGCGCACGCTGCGGTTTCACCATAAGCATCAAAGTCTGTTCCAACTCTAATGCGATGCTGGTATCATTGACGAAGTAGCTAGCAACCTTTTGCCAAAACCAAATATTTCTTTCGACCTAGGCTAGAAAGCTTGATATCACTTTGAACCATGGTTTTAAAAGTGCTTCCAAATTTGATTGCTTACCTTTTATATCCATAAATAGTCCAACACTCGAGATGGGTCGTGTACTTAAAATTTGTTTTTGTCATGTAAGAGAATTGCTCAAGCTCTTTCTTTGAAAGAGAGAATTATGGCTTTTCAAGCTGCGCTTGCATGGCATGAGCCGCAGTCGCAGATAGAGTGAGTTGTTTCATACTGCAGTAGCTGCAGCAGTCGCAGTCATATTGGGGCGAGCAAAAGCTATCGATCGATCGACTGTCGTTGCTGCAGCGACTGCAGTATGAAACAACCCATTAGGCCTACCGGCATAAAAATCAAACTTGTCAGCGCAGTTTTTCCAAGATGATAAAGCCGTGGGGGTGGAATCATCAGAAAGGAATTCTCCAGGTTGATGTGCAAAGGGGGGGGGGGCATTTTCGTGAGACGTGTGCCTGACCACAGGCATGAGAATTGTTTCATGCTGCAGTTGCTGCAGCAACGACAGTCGATCGATCAATATCTTTTGCTCGCGCCAAAATGATTGCAACTTCTGCAGTGACTGCAGTATGAAACAACTATGGCTCTGCTTCCATTATATCACACAAGGGCAGTGTCCCAGAATTCGAGTCTCGGGGTTTTTTTACGATTTGCAAGCCTTTTCGACATTATGTAACTCCACAAATTTCAAAAACTTTGTTGTTTGAAGGCCCCGTAGAAGTAACGTGGACGAGCTGTCCCGCTCTACCTTAGTTTTGGCCGGGGGTCAGAGACGTCAAAAAGGAATGTGTCGCTTGGAAACACTTGTCTAAATGCGAAGGGGGAACTGGAAAGTTGTTCCGTACAAGCCAAACAGCGTTCAAAACCCTACTTCGAGTGCACTTTTCTCCACGTAGGGAGGTCGCATCGTAAGGGATTTGGACATTGGACTAATATGGAGGTCCTAATAAGGAACCCCTAAAAATTCACTATGCCTTGAAGCTGGCGGAAAACTGCTTTCGACACTTCGAGGGTATGGCGGCATCCGCGGCCAGAAGATCTTATCCTTGCAAAGGTGATTTGTAACTCAATCCAAGATTTCAGACTCAAGACATTATTCACTAAATTGTTTGCAGTTAACAAACATTTCTTTTATATCAGGTTGTCTCATAAGTTCCGTCCGTTTTGGTTTCAATCGCAATAAATCTTGAACTTCTTGTTTCTAGATAGGTTCCAAGATACCGTTCGATAGAGCAAATCAAGCTCTACAAGATGTCTATCTCGCTTTTGCACCAGCTCTGATCCATCTCGAGTTTCAAAGCGAGAACTAAAAAGATTCAACTGCCCGAAAAATCGAGAAAAAACCATAACTCCGTCTAAAAAAATCCTAAAAAATTCTAACTTGCTCGCGTAAACACTCATTTAAGACATTTATATACGCTGTTGCCGTATTTTTTCCTCGGTCAGAAATTAAAAAAACGAAGGTTTTCGTTTTTGCTAAAGCGATGCTGTGCTGTTCCTACATAGATAGTTGTATACAATTAGCTGTAGAAGTACAAATGTTAATTTCAGCCTGCAAGCTTTGGTTCTCGAGAAATATCGAATACAGCTTGCTTTAGTCGGGTGCTTTACGCTAAAATTCATAATTCTCGAAAACTAGTGCCTGTAGAGAGCTGAAAACTTACACTTGTACTTCTACGGGCTAGTAGTATACAATATTTGTGTAGGGACAGCACAGCATCGCTTTAGCAAAAACGTGAAAATCTTCGTTTTCTTGATTTCTAACCATGGAAAAAATACGGCCACAGCGTATGTAAATGTCTTAAATGGATAGTGTTTACCGAGTAGAAAGTTTGTAGGATTTTCTTAGGCGGAGTTATGGTTTTTTTCTCGATTTTTCGAGCAGTTGAATCCTTTTGATTTCGCCTTGAAACTCGAGATAGACCAGAGCTTGTGCAAAAGCGAGATAGCCTTCTTGTAGAGCTTGCTTTGCTCTATCAAATGATTCCTTGGATCCTATCTAGAAACAAGAAGTTCATAATTTATTGCGGTTGAAAATTAAAACGGAGGAACTTATGGGACAACCTGATAGTTCATATAGAACACCTGAAAATTCCGCAAAGGGTGGAGAGGAAGGAGAGGCTTTTGTCCGCCATTGCTATCTATGTTTTAACTTGATACTTTCTGGCTAACCTTTCTTTTTCTAATAGAAGGATTATAACACTCTAGGTCAGGAGTTCCCGTCGATGCAAAGTCAAGGAATATAGGCTGAAGATAGAAAGACCAGAGCCCGTAGTAAAGCTAATTCAGTTCAGGTAAACTGAACTGAGGCCCTCATCCAAGATTCAGTAAGGTAGACTGCCTATCACCAGCTCTCCACGTTGCAAGAATGCAAAATGAGATTTCAGCTGACCGTCCGTCTACCTGACGAGGTAGTCTACCTTACTTCAGTCAGTTCACATTCAGTTAGACTACCAATCGATGTAAATAGTGTGCCACTGATGATACGCAGAGAAACTTCTCGTAAGTTACTCCTGAGTAACTTACGAAACACGTCAGTTTAACATGTCGGTGAGGAGCCACAGTGATGCTGACGAGACTCAACAAGATCTAACACGTGCGGCCACATCCCCCGCCGCTAGTGCCATGACGTAGATGTGAATGTTTGGCAAACTCGTCTTGACTCGTATACTTGCATGGACGTGGCGCTCTCAATCTTATCATCGTGGGTGGTTGGCAATATCAATCAATGGCTCGACTGAAGGCAAGCTAACTCGTCGAAGCCTCAACTGAAGTTTTATTCAGCTGAGATCGAATGAAGCAGCTTTACTACGGGCCCAGATCTCAAGGCATTTGTAAAATGAGTTCATCAATCATAAAGCATCTGCCATGATGCACAAACAAGATATGTTGATTAAGGCAATTCAACAAATCTATCGCTTATAGGCGGCTAAAGAGTCAAATTGTGGAAGGGATGTCAATAGAAAAAAAAAACAATCTCATAATGTATGAGTCAAATCCATTTGAATTTTGTTCATTAGCAGATCTCGCCATATGAGTGAATACGTTTTTTGGCAAGCAAAAATCATAGAAATGCAACATACATGTCGAAAAAATACTAATTTACTGCAAGTGGCAAGGCCAAAGGCTCTAAGGATTTCGATTTCAACTGTCGATTGTTCCTTATTTCTTGCCTTTCCATTCGCCGCTCCATGTTTCTGCGCTTGTTATCCGCCTCGGCGATGCTATTCATTTAGCGAAGCTCCTCAGAGCTTTTTCATGTTCCGCTCACTCTAGGATTCAGTGCGAAAGAAATCAGTGCTTGGACACGAACAGCAATGAAATCTATATGTTGCTAAATCGAGGATAACTAGGGTACAGGAAGCGCTGAAACTACCAGAAGAGAGGTGGGTGAGGGATTACCTTTATCATACCCATCGAAAAATGCCGAAAACTCTACGCGTAAAAAAAAGCAAGTCAAATAAGAATTTTTTTGGTAAGACTGGTTCCTTGTCCTGAGATTTAAACCGGATGTTATTCACTATATATAGGAGCTGGCATGGGTATTTTATTCATTTATTTATTTATTTACTTATTTATTTGTCTATATTGGTATGATAATCAGAGTGAAAAAATAGCTGAAACTAGGAAAACTACTCAAAACAAGCTGGTTAAAACGCAGTACAAAAAATCTACGTCAACAAAGTCAGGGTTGATTTTGGACAAGAACGAGAAACTGGGTCTGTTTCCCAGAAGGCGTAAGTAAGCATCTTATAAAACGAAGTCTTTTTGATGCTGTGCAGTTGAACTTACATATTTTCAGCAGAATTCTTTTGCTCTTTACAAAGGCTTATTTTAGCTTTTAACGAAGTTGTTAAGAGTTTTTCAACTTGGTGGACCTTTTGTGACGGCACCATATTTTAGAAATGAAAATGCGTTTCGAGCAAATGGAGTGATCAAGAAAATCTGAAAAACAGTGAATGCTCATAAACAAACTGCAGTAAGAAAAAAGACACAGGCCCCAGCCCTATATGATTTCCAGAGAAAATCGAGCGCTTGCAAGAGTCAAATATAGAAAAAAAAATAGTGCAAGAAGGATAGTCCATTGAGTATGGAATACTGCATCGAATAAGCTTACATATGTAAAGATAGCCTTGCACATGTGATTTGCTCTGGCAACGACATTATTGATGCCTAGAGTAATTTGATTTACTTGTAAATCATCCATCCACTCTTGCTGATGCGACTTGCAGAATTTGATAATCTTCCAAACGATTTTAGGCTTAGCAGGAAATGGTCAGAACTTTACCCAGCCATACCAAACAAGCTATATATCGGGTCCGCCTTGAAGCGCTGATCTCACATATATGTTCTTATCTGCCAAACGATTTTATGAAAGGAGTTATGGGCTTTGATGTGCGATTTGCAAGTGTTTTGTGACGTATGTTCACTACATACGCTTCAAAAACATTTATTTTGTGTTCTCGATGGATGTGCTTTTTCCTTGTAATTACAATAGCCATATCTACTGTAAATCCACGCCCTCAAGCTGTCTTCTAACAAGCTATATTCGTTGGAACCTGAATAATTTCTCATATTAGAACACTCATAACTCCGTCCAGAGAATCGTTCGGCAGTCTTTAAACATATATTTGAAAACAGCGTTTTAAAAGTTCGATGTTGTACGTTTGGAATAACTGGGTTAAGTCCTGACAATTTTCTTCTTAGCTAACATTACAATTTTGCCATATGAAACTGGCATGGAAAAAATTATAACAAATGAAAGGAATCACTTGTATTTACTCTAAAGTTTTTTAAAAACTTTCACATTGACTGAATTGCGAAAATCAGCGAATATTGTGACATAGTTTCTTTCTCTGAGCCATACTGAATGTGCAAAATAAGCTTTTTGCGCGATAGAAGTCAAGGTCATTTGCAATGCGAAAGGCAAAAGCACAAACTACAAGGTACACATAGAAATCTCAACTTCACATTCAGGAAAGGGAAGATAGAGTAGCATTTTATTGCATAGGTTCCGCACTCGCAAAGGAATGGTCTTATAGCTCATTCTTCTCGTATTTCGTCTAATTTTATAGCCGCTTTTAACGCGCAGGTGTTGTTGCCACGCATTGACACTATCTTCTCATTGGTTTTATGAATCAAAGGTCCTCAGCGCAATACAGTTCGAAAATTAGGCGGAATTAAGAGTCAAATGCATTCTTAAGATGCGGAAACTATATCAGATCCGTACTTTACAACATCCTACGCGGTTATACGTCACTACTGAAGCAGTATAAAGCCAATTCAGAGCAATGAAAGCTTGAAATGCTGCTCTATCGCCTCGAAATTTCATTTCACAAGCGTGCTTTACGAGCACGTGCCAACGATCCGCCTTTCCATAGTTTCCAGGAATTGTAATTTTTCTGCGCTTGCAAAAAATTTGTGCATATTTGATCCTTTTAGTGAAATTGCAACTTGCGCAGGCCGTTATCGCCAATTTATAGCGAAAGCTAAGACAAGCTGGAAAGTTGAAAGATGGCCGCAATCAGAGAAATGTCATGCCATTTTCCCTCGGTTTGTTTGTTTTGTGAGGAAAAAACTGAATTGGCATTGCTTTGCTGCACTTCATTATGCTTGCGTTACGGAAATTGGAATGACTGCAGGCCATTATTCAAATATTCACTGATCGAATAAAATGGCTCTGCTCTCATGCAAATGACGGTACAGCTCAGTGCTTTTGAAAAAAAAATGAATTGCTGGCTAGAAATTGAACAACCCCTATTTTTATACGTGTTACGCCAAGGAAAAATATTTCACATTAGAAATGTGCCGACCACCAAATTTGATTCGAGTATTGCGAGAGATGTAGCTTGAATTCTATTTGAAGAGAAGAAGTTCTCATATGCGTCAGTTCACTCGGATGATTTGATCAAAGCGGGAAGTAGAATAAGTGAATAAAACGATAATTTTACATATATGATGTATAGCTATAATTAGGGAACTTCCGAGTGTTTCCAAGTCAATGTTGCTTGTAGGGATTAACTTAAGCTATGTTTTACCGCTATGACAAAACTAAATGGATTTCCTTCCCTCTTGTTCAATCGTGGATAAGCCCAATATCTAGCTTTTGCACAAAATTTAGACCGTTTGGACATCATTGTATCATTCATTCTACGACTAAGAGACGCGAGACCGCGCTACACACATTGTCTAAACAAGCTTAATCGTGTGTTTAGCAGGTTTATACTTGTCAATTATCTCGTCCAAGTTTATTCACTCTTTGGAAACAAGGAGGAACAATCTCGAACATGTTAAGACAACGTCCGCAGTGCGATCACGCGTCTCCTAGTCGTAGAATAGATGATAGCTTGCACAGGTAAACTTTTGATATATTTTGCCAACACTTCCCTCCCCTTCCCTACTTTGGCATGTAGTCAATATGCGCGACTTAAAGAAGTGGAGAACGTTCAAGGGGAATAAGGAAAGAAGAACATACAGCAGAACTGGATAGACAGGAAGAAGGGGAGGGAGATAGAGTTCCACTTCCTCTTCATACAAGAAGGTCGCAAAATGTTTGCATATCGGTATGCACAAGTCATAAATTCATAAGCAATTTATTTTTTATCGTACGTTATCAAAGTATCCATGTAGTTGAGGTGTACTCGAGAGATATGCAGAACAATAACCGTCTAATACCATGAGACTTGATGAACTATTCTACGACTAGGAGACGCGAGACCGCATTGCGGACATTGCCTCAGCAAGTTTGACTTTGTCTTTCCCTGTTTCAAAGAATGTTTAACGGACGAGATAAATAACAAGTATAAACCTGCTAAGTACACGATTAAGCTTGTTTAGACAATGTGTGCAATGCGGTCTCGCGTCTCCTAGTCGTAGAATAAATGATACTTTATTAGTTGCCACGAGAACTTGTATGTGGTGTAGTATACCTCAACTAAATCTTGGGTAAATAAACCGCATTTACTTAAAAAACGATAAAAGAAAAGCAACAAAATAAACATAAAACAAATAACATAAAACAAACTAGAACTATGTACATAACGATGGAGTGTTAATGCCAAAATGATCATGACAGGAATAAATGGTAAAAAATTTGTGTGCCACTCAGAATTGCTACGATACTTGTTGTCTCTCACTGGATACCTGTTTTTATACTTGTGTTATAATCGCTTGAGATTAGTG